TTCAAGCTCTATTGTGGGGCAGAGTTTTGACAAATAACTCTCTGTCATTCTTAGTTAAAACTTACGAAATCCTAAGTGAAGAAGTATATTTGATAAGCACTTAAATAAGAAAGCATCGATTTATATAAAAAAAGTAATTTAATTTCTCTATTGTGAACAACATATTCATCAAAAATAACTAATATTTCGTCGGACCACCTTTTTTTCTTATGACCTCAGCACAACGACGAGGCATAGTATCAATGAGTTTGATACAACGATTGATTGGAATGTTATTTTTAAGTTTCCTCAATTATTTTATAATGTGAATGTCATGCATTGGTCAGCACAATCTCTCGACCTGAACTCCATCGAACATCTTTAGAATGATGTAGATAGAGAAGTCAAAATGAAAAAACCTTCTAATTTGAACGATTTATATAAAATAATTGAGGAAACCTGAAATAACATTCCAATCGATTGCTATATCAAACTCATTGATTCTATGCTTGATTCGTCGCTATGCTGAGATCACAAGAAAAAAAGGTAGTCCGACAAAATATTAGTTATTTTTGATAATACATTGTTTACAATAGAAAAAATAAATTACTTTTTTTATATAAATCCATAAATATATCGTGTTTTCTTATATTTAAGTGCTCGTCACGTATATCTTCACTTAGGATTTCGTAATTTTCAACAAAGAATCAAAGAGAGTTGTCAAAACTCTGTCTTACAATAAAGCTTGAAACTCATACTTTCAACATGTGCAAAGAGAAAAAAAGATAAATTCAAATAATAACTCAAAAACAATGTATTTCATATAAACAGAAGTTTTTCCCTATTTATATACTCACAACTGTACGTATAATTATAGATTTAAATTACAAAAACAACTCTCTCAGATCATAAAATTTAATAATAAAACATAAATTATAAGTAAAATTTATGTATTTGTTATTTATTATTTGCGAATATATGTATAATACATAAAAAGAAATACAAAAAAACATTTATAAACAAATCTAATAAATTAGGAATCGTAATATTGATATATTTTTGTACATATGTTATAGGATTAAAAAGAAACATGTTGAGAAACTTTATATAACATATAAATTGTAATACTTACGGATTGCTATTCTAATGTAATTAAACATTCTAAAAGAGATATTACACACTATATATATTATGCACTATACACTGTAATTTACGATTAATACATCTACGAAATGAAGAAAAGCAAATAAATAAGTAAATGCAATGCAGTGCAACTCTCGACAACGACGTCTCTTCGTTCACTGAAGATGCAGCTGCTGTTCACGTTCCTTTTTCATAGCCATTCCAGAAAATCTTCGAGTGATAACAACTCAAGCATCCAGGCATCGCTACTTAGATAAGGCCAAGAGCAACTCCAGTGACCTGTTATCTAGTGTGGATCCGTGGGAGGAGATGAATTCTGCAACAGCTCGTCTTAGAGAGTTGTAATATCCACCAATCGCGCGAGAGTTAAAAGTACTCATGCGGAACATTATATGTTAGATACGTTCTTCTTACAATATCCATCTAGATTGTATAAACTACTGGCTCATCTATACTCTGCTAACGGGATTAAAATGTAAATTATATATCTACTTTAAAGCTACAGCATTTGCCACAATTTAATATCTAGTATATATCTAATGTTTTATACATATACACCGTATTATAAAAATAAAGTAAAACAGAAAATTTTTTTCTTTTTATTTTTAGTAAAATTATTGCTATATTATTTTTATATTTCAATTATTTAAAAAAATCATGAATAAATTATTCGATTTATCAAATAAGTTTGCTGCAATTTTTATATATTTGGTAGATATTTTTTATTGATAAAAAAAAGGTATTAATCATAACTTTTTACTTATGATTATTTGAAGTCAAGTTATGTTTACAAAATAGAAGATCCGTTAATACAGATAATTAATACAGATTTTATGCGATTAATTTTCACAGAAGAAACAGCGCATTAACTCTTGTTATCTATTCTAACATTTAAGTGCAGAGATCACATTTCCACCACTATCATCATTATCATTATCATTATTGAATACGCCATTTTGTATTTAACTTGCAAAGTTTTAGAGGATATTACGTACGTGACTTGTATCATGCGAAAGATATCATATCGTCCCGTCATTATACGTCAGCAGGAACTTTACTCTTCATAGCTTATAAATACGCTGATATATAATCAATCTCTTTCGTATTTTTTATATTACAATGTCAATGTCCAAACAATATCCAAAATACATCTATCAATTAGATTGTTTAATTAATTATATGTACATTGCTATTTTTGGTCTAAATTAATACATACTTATAATATAAAGCAACGAATGCTCTACTTTAATTGCAACTGTCAAACAATTTTCCTGAGTAATATTGCAAGACGGAGATTTCTCTACTAAGCGTTACATATAAAAAAAAGAGGAAAAAGAAGACGCGAGAACCTTTGTCTATTTTTTAGCGGTGTTTTACTTTTTTAGTTTTCTTTTAATTTTTCTAATTTAAAAAAGTCTTGATATTATATTTTCTTTAGTATAAAAAAGAAAATTCAAAATTTTTTTATTTACATGTTTATATATATTTTGATAAGTAAACGTTTACAATAAGAGTCCGTTTTTGTCTTCTTCAATTATTTAGTATCAAATCTGAAAAGATAATTTTTCACAAAATGTAAGATAAAACTTGTAAAAAATATATAACTTATTTATACGTAATCAATATTACACGTAATCAATATTACTATTCTTTTCATGAAATAGTTTTTGTTTTTAAAATTGCAGATTTAAGAATACATTTATGTTGCTCTTTTATTGTAGACAAAAATTATTATGTTGTTTGCAACGGTTGCAGTTTGTTTAATATTCTATATAAAAACAACTACACGCACATGATAGTTAAAAGTCACGATAAGTTAAAAAACCTATTTTTAAGTCGCAGTATATTAACTTTTCTGACATATGTTACAAGATATTTTGTAATCTCGTCTACGAGTTTCTATTTTTGCGTGAACTTTGTACGCATTTTCACGCTTCATTTTCATGTTTGTATTTGGTTTGCTCTAATACATATAAGATTTATATAAAATAATAATCGTAAATTTTAAGAAATTTTACAAAATTGCAATAATTAGCATTTAAATTTGCATTGTATAATATCCCATCAACTAATCTTCTGTAATAAATCTTCTGTAAATAATTCTTTTATTTTATTAATCTCTCTATACACCATGTATGTAACATACTATGTAGGGTGACTTGTCCAATGAATGAACATTCCTCAGTGAATGAACATTGCTCTATATTCTTTTATTATACAAAAAATTAAAATCTAACATGCTCTCTTGACGTTAAATATTTGACACAATATTTTCAGTGAAAATCAATAGATGTCTCTTAAAAGCGTTCTGTATATCTATAATTCATATCATAGTGTAAGTATACTTATATCATGAATTTATATGTCATTACATTTGATTGATTAAACAGTTGTTTTGACGGCGTCGCACAAGTTCAAAATTAATTCTTGTTACTTGACATCTACAATTAGTATTTTAAGTGTATTTAATGGTTTTATGATCAATTTGTTTTTATAGTTACATTGTTTAAACATTTCTTTAACAAAATATATAATAAATAACAGATCTGTAAAAGAATATCAATTTTTATTAAGTGTTCATGCATTGGGTGGAAACATCAATGAATACCAAAATAAATGAACAACCGTTCATTCATTGGCGAGCATGATAGATGCTTTATCAGTGAATGAACATTCAGTCTTTTTACTCTATTAACTTCTAATACGTAGACATAATCTAACATCTATCAGAAAAACAATTGGTCAAGCTAGAAAAGATAAGAAATAGAGAAGAAAAGAAAAAGAGAAAATGAATATATAATTATTTATAATATAATATTTTCTATTTAATATTATTCTATATATTTTTTTCTAAATAAAAACTTACAGTTACATACATTCAGAATTTCATAAAATATGCATAGTATTACTTTCTTTTTCCCATTGATTGCAACAATTGCTCTAATCGAGAAAAATTGATATTGCATTGAAAATCACATTTACTTGAAAAATATTATTCCGTTTATTTACTGGAATATTTCTGTTCATTTATTAGAAATTTCTGTTCATTCATTGGTTATTTAGCCACTTTTTATTTAATCTTATGCTAGATTAAATATTGCTAGACTTGCGTCCTGAAATGTCTGATCTTAATAATGAAACAACTCGCGTTTACTGTAATAGCATTCAGAGAATTATAAATAACGATTTTTGAAAACTAATTTTAACAGACATCTAGCTTAAGTGTTCATTCACTGGACAGATCACCCTATCTTGTTACATTCATTGTAAAGAATATTCTACCCTTGTCACAGGTCGAAAACTTTGATTTTTTATTTTAACATATTCTGAAGCCTTGAGAATATATTTGTGAAGTTATAAAAATTGAAATTGAAAAAATTAACAAACTTACATAAAGCAGAATATATCATTAAAAAATAAAACGCGTTTTTCTTAAAACTACCTTTTTTTAAATTCTTAAGAAATTCCGCCGAAACTACTAAAACTATCGCTTTTAAATATTTTACATGCTTAAAAAAGACATCTATCAAACAAATTTGTAAAAAATAGTCATTACTTATTTGGCGCGACAAGATAAAACACTTTTTTAAACTAAGTTTATAATATGTTTACTTATAAAAAAAAATAATTATGTATGTTTAAAAAAAAACTTTTGAATTTATGTGACAGCAATATAATTAATTGTTTAAAAGTAGAAACACATACAATATATATTTTGTTTTTTAATCCGAAATATCGTTCGCAAATGTTATTTATGCGCTGTCAAACCTCAATTTTTTAAATTTTATGTGTAGTAGTATAACATTTCCAATAGTCATTTTTTTATTTTTTGAGATTATTATCGATAATTTCACTATGTCAATCTAGTCTAGCAAATAATGATTTAAAATTTAAATTCGACTGTATACATAAAATTTTAATACGATTGTGTTTGTCTTTATAGTTTTACGTGTTATTATATATAAACTAAATTCGAAATGTCAAAAGTCTTCGGCAATATAAACACGATAAGCTATCTGTTAAAATTTAATGTATGTGACTTAGGTTATCTTTCATATACGATTAACTCTACTTTCCTCACCAAAAATGATTAATTTGTACTTATCTCACACATTTCCGCGCATTTGGATCTTCCACATTTTACGCGAAACTTTAAAAACGTCTCTTTTATAGTATTTTAAAAGTTATTAAATCAAAAATGGACATGAAACACACAAAAGAGTTTGATAATGAAACGATACAAGTATTTAAAAAAAAGATAAAACAGCTTGCCGAGTGCGATGAGGTAATTTCAGTCGAGACTATTAATGCTATCGGAGAAATCACCAAACATGTTAACCTAACGGTCAAGGAGAATGTGCCGAGCAGCGATGAGTTCGATGAAGATTTAGAAGAGAAATATCGAAACTTGAAAAATATTCTTGAATTACCAAACGACACTTATTCTCTTACCGAAATCAAACCAGAATTTCCTCTTTATATCAAATACGGTGTTCGTTCTGGTCTAATTCATCTAAATGTGTCGCAATTCTCGCCATTGTCCAGAGGTTACCAGGTAAGTCAGAATAATAAAAATAAAAATAAATAATAATAATGATGATTAAATGAGAATAATAATACTAATAGAATCAGTAACAGAATGTTGTTTTTTTTAATTTTTTAAAAATATTTTATTTTTGTCATCTTTTTTTATATATCATAACTATCACAAACAACTTTGTATATCATAACTATGCAGAAAGTTTTGCACAAATTAAATCAATTAAATATATGTAAACACATTTGTGTTGCACTGCTTGAATAAATTTATTTATATTTTTTCTTGTGTTAAATATTTATACTTTTTTTTTTTAACTTAGCTGATAGTTTAAAAAAGTGTACATTTGGATTAAAGTACGATTAGACGTTGCCTCTAACATTGCTAATGACAGGGTGGCGCTACAGCAATTGCAGCTTTTGCCACGAGCGCGATTTATAAACCTCGCAATTGGAACGAGGTGATAATCGATCAGATAATCGAAGACGGTGACATTTTTTACTGCGAGTCCTACAAGAGCGTGGACACCAGCGATCGCCGGACGATGACCATACTCAACTTGAAAAGAAATCTTGTCGTGCAAAAAAAGTTCAATGTGAGAATCGGGATCGACGACCCAGCGTATGCCGGCAGGTTTCGTTCGTGCGATCCAACGGAACTTCATCTGCTCAAGGCGTTGGAGTTATTCTTCGAGCGACACGATGCCGGGATCTTAACGTCGCCGGTACTTAACGTAGCCATTTGGAAAAATTCCAGGTGCTACAACATATTCGACGGTCAAGCGCGACAAGAAAATGGCTTGCCGGTTGGGGCCAATGAAGTCAGCGGATCAGCTAAGCTGTTCTTCGTAAAAGATCTGCTCGGCGTAATTTTTATCATCCTCGAGAAGAGTAATGTGCAAAACGAGTCTTTCATGATTTATGCTATAACCATCGACGGAATCGAACCGGTGTGTGTAAAAAATTCCGAAGAAACTGAAGAAAAGATACTCGAGAAATCGCAAAGAAGACCAAGTGGTTACAATATTTGCCAAAAACACCGAGCGGTGGTGCAAGGATCGTACCATCTGACACATTCCGCAATATCGAAGGATCTGCAAGGTAAAGGACATCTGATAGTGGCCGTGGCGGCGTTGATATATTCTCGACTGATTAACGCCAATAAATGGACGAGCGCTTTACTCGACCTGATTTTTAATCAATCCAACATTTATCTGATCGATTTGATGAGAGTTTGCAAAAAAAAACTCGACGACCAGCTGGAGTTCCAACTGGAAGACTTACTGAGCGATGTTATTCTCGGTGTGTATTCCGCCAAGATAAAGATAGACGCGAATGTGGTGCCGGGTGAGGGAAAGACGGTTCTTTCTATCGAAAGTGGTATCGAAGAGTTTTTCGATATGCGAGATCTTGGATTGATTGAGATCAACAAAATCTTCTACGCAATTTGGAAGGACGGTGATGTATATTATTTCCTAGATCCGTTTGCGTGCGATGTCGAGGGCTTCAGGATCGACTTTGCCGATAACAAACGCGAAGAAATTCACAAAGAAGCTGCTTGCGTGATCATGAATAGCAGCGTGAAAAAAGTGGTGGAGATAGTAATGAAAAATACCAAAAGTAAAGAAAGGGATTCTTTCTCGATACACGGCGTCAAGGTGCTTTATATAAAGACCGGCGTGACATCGGATGAGATAGTAATTTATCGTGAAAAGGGCACGAACCGCAGACCATTAGCTCCATCGCTATCGACTATAGTAATTACGAAAGAAAAAACGATCGACACGACACCGCGTATGCGAGAAGGATGGCACAAGTTCACAGAAATATTTACTCAATTTCCGGAGGTTATGCAAGATGTGAATCAGTTTATGATGACGGAAGACGAGCCAATAACTTTTGTATTTGCACGAGAAGATGATAAGAAGAAAAAAGAAGCGGAGGAAGAAAAAGAGGAAGAAGAAGAAGAAGAAGAAGAAGAAGAAGAAGAAGAAGAAGAGAAAGAGGAGGAGGAGGAGGAGGAGGAAGAAGAAGAAGAAGAAGAAGAAGAAGAAACCGTAAAAGAAAAAAAAGAAAAAAAGGAAGAAAAAGAAGCGGAAAAGAAAAAAGAAAAGATAGAACTTACATTAAACTTTATAAAAGGGTATAAAATGATAAACGTTCATCGTCTGATTGTTCACGGTACTAAAAATTGTCTTAGCGTAGAATATCGTCCGGAATCACGTGGCAGGCAAGGTTTAATAATTGCTTTGACCGCGTTGGCGTATAGAAAATTAAAGGACCCAACTTGCTGGCGAAACATAGACGTAGATCAAATTGTCGACGTTAGCAACAAGACTTACGAGCAAGTTATAAAATGGATCGAGCAGGGTCGGCCAAAAATAGAAAAAGTAAAGATAATGGAAGAAGAAGAAGAAGAGGAAGAAGAAGAAGAAGAAGAGGAAGAAGAAGAAGAGAAAGAAGAGGAGGAGGAAGAAGAGGAGGAAGAAGAGGAAGAAGAAAAAGAAGAAGAAGAAGACGTCATTAAAAAAATAACGCAAGCTCCCAGTCATCTGAACGTCTCCTTCTTGCCACCTAAATTGAAGCTAGCCGAGTATGATGCCGTCTTCAAGACAAAGGAAAACATCGTCGATGGTGATGCCAATCCCCTCGCTAATCTAGCGGAAGCTCTTGAGCGTTACTTGGAGCGATATCCCGAAGTGGTGTTAGAGAACAAGCGATTGATGTATGCCATTTGGACAGAAAATGGAAAATTCTTTATGTTTAATCCTTACGGGAGCGATTCGGAGGGATGGCGTCTTCGGGATCACCCAGCTTCATTTACCGTGACAAACAATCTCAACGAATTAGTTGATCTTCTTCATGGCGTCCTAGAATATAACGATCCGTTTTTCTCGCTCCATTTCGTAGGTCTTGAAGCGATACTGCCGGGAAAATATACATCACCCGTGGAAATTGTAATACCAAACGAGCAGATAACTGAAAAGTTTAAGACAAAGTTTCTACCAATTACAGACGACGATTTGCTCGAAGAAACAAAACTTGAAATTGCTATCGAAGAGAAAAAGCTTGCAAAAGAAGAGATAGAAGAAGAAGAAGAGGAGGAGGAGGAAGAAGAAGAGGAGGAGGAGGAGGAGGAGGAAGAGGAAGAAGAAGAGGAAGAGGAAGAGGAAGAGGAAGAGGAAGAGGAAGAGGAAGAGAAAAAGAAAGAAAAGAAAGAGGAAGTGTCAATAAAGATTCTTGTAGATCCTCTGCTCGAAATCGAAGAATATGCGCAGCCCGACGCGCCGTATCGTCTAAATTTGGCTCTATTAACCTCTACAGTGACAATCGACGATCCGATTGAAGAACTAATCAAATTGCACGAAGAAATAATATTAGAGAAGATAAAGTACGATCATCCACCGCCATACGTGATGCCACCGAAGAAAACACTCGGCGTTTTGTTGGAAGCAAAATTGGCGAATAAATCGGTTCCTTCGCTCGTATCGAGATTCTCGATTGACTCAAAGCTGAAGAATGATTTACCGGTTGATCTTACAGCGCCTACGTTAGCGGCGATCGTGCCGCTGCCACAAGAAGACACGAAACTCTCGAAGATGATCAAGATTTCTTGCACGAAGTATTTATATTCGAGATTGTCGCCGATTCATACGATGCCTCTTCGAGCTATCGACGAAAGTTACGTCCAACACGTCAATCAAGTACTTGACGAAAACAGTCGTGAGAAATTAAAATCAGAAGAGAAAAGAGAACATGTGATAAAAACAGAATTATCAAAAGTGCCTTGCGATTTACGACCAGAACTGATACCACTTGGACCGATAATTAGAACTCCCGTTTTAATAACGAAGCATCTGACATGTCACGATAACAGAAAACAAGGAAACAAATTCGAAGAAAAAAAATATGTTGAAAAGAGAACTCTCTGCGATATGGAGAAGTTTTTATTTAAGCTAATATTTCCGAACTTTCAATCTGATTTGCAGGTTAGTTTATTTTTTTGCACATTACATTTTTGATGATTACGAAATACTAATTTAAAACAGTGTTCAGAAGATATCCTAAACATTTTATTTTTAAACAAATTTGTAATAGAAGTATTTTAAGTTCGTACCAACTGTTTAAATCTGTTCTAAAGCGAGGGGAAATTTTACAAAAAAATTTTTTTTTTCCTTTATTTTGTGTGAAAACTTTATTTAATAAATTTTTCTTTAAATTCAGCTATCCGAAGAAAAAGACAATTATGAGAAGACAAACGAGATAAAGAAGAAACTAGCAATTAACGTCAGGGCTTCCGAGGTAGACCGCCTGTCGCCAGAAGTTATCGGCTTTGTTAAAGTAATAACATATTGCGGTATTATAAATGTGTCAATAAGAGTTTCTCAGTAGACGTTCAATTTTGTTGCCATATTTATTATCGAATAGAAGCGATAAGTAAGTTATTTAGCACGATGTCTCATTGTTGTGACAGGTTGTGGACGAAGACACGGAGATAATACATGGCAGTTTGAGTTTATTAGATCGTGCACGAGTTGAAGCTTCGCACTTTAAACCTTGTTATTACTCAGCTATATTATGTATTCTGGCTAAGATTGCGCTGGATGTGGATCATTTTTCTGGCCGCACTCTGGATCAGTTGATTCTTCTGGCCGATAAAATCAATCAACGAGTCGGCAGATTACAATACAAAGAGTACAGATCGTTTTACGACGTGAACGTACTCGATACGAAGTACAACGTCATTCTGAAAGAAATCGTTCGCGCTGACCCCGAGAGTTCTCCGTCCGACGAGCTAGATACGACAATTGAGAAATTTTTAGAGAAACATCAAACCGGTATATTAGTGCTAACAAATTGCGCCTACGCATTTTGGACCGCGAACGACAGATATTATCTCTTCGATTCGTATTCTTGCGACGAGAAAGGTAACGCGAGCAAAGAAGAATACTGCTGTCTTATGAAATTTCGCGATTTGAAATCCATGATCGACAGAATTAAAACAAACTCCGGTGAGACAGTAAACAAACCGTTCCGACTTTATACCGTGTCCATCGCTCATCTGGAAACGAAAAAGCGCAAACGAAAACGAAAGAAGACTGTCGATCATCATGCGAGGATAGAAAAAATTGAAGAGGAGAAACAAAGTGTGCCCGCGACATCGCCATTGGAGTCGGAATCATCTTTAATCGAGTTAGCCGAGTGGGTCACATCAGATCCAGAATTAGATTCGCATCGACGACGTGACGTCGACGGTTTCATGCCGCTGCAACATTACGCGGTTTCGATGCTCGAAGCTAGCGTTTTGGAAGACGACATCGCGAGACCGTTTGAAAGAATATTTCGTAATCGTACGTCCCTCGCAATTTCCCTGGATCTGTGCATAATGGCGTGGTCGATAATTCACAATCCCATTTCATGGTCGAAACGCACGCTCCAGGGTCTGTTCGAAGCGAGCGTCGATTACGCTTACGACAACGTGTTGGCGAGTGAAGATACGTCTGTGAGCGGCACAACCGACGCAATGCTATCAGAATTTGAGATCGCAAACTACGCGTTCCGACCGGTGCTCGCGCCTCTGCATTATGGATATCTCTACGTCACCGATGGATGGAACCTGGCAACGACGTTGGATAAGATATTCAAGAGTAACATCTATACGGGCGCGATTCTCGTCTGCCGCTATGCTCACGTAGGCATTATGAAGCGCGAGAACAACTACTTTGCTTGGTGGACCATTTCGGGCACGAAGAATCTGAGAATGATTGCGTCTGGTAACATAAGCGAATTTCTGAAGTTGATCGTTAAGGAGATCGACGAACCACGGCAGATAGAATTTGTCGTCAGAGCGGTTACAATATCGTTCGCTCGTAAGATGACACCGGATTGCGACGCCATGGATTTTCACGAGACAACGATACCGAGAACGTCTTTGCTTGAGATTCGCCGAAAAGAATTACCTGAAGATGACATCAAAGCGATCTTCAGACCAGTCGATCGGCTGCCACATTTCGTATCCGGAACGGTAGCATTGCGCGACCGATACAGTCTGCGGGAACCGCGAGCGAAACGTTGTTACTTCGTCGCATTGCTGGCTGTCATAGTAAAGCGGGACGTTGTTCAATCTCCAATTCCGGCCATGATCGACAAAGTTCTTCAAGTGGCGGAATGTTTGTATCGAGAATTCGTCGAGCCTAAGTTTCACTCCGAGCACATCTTGCTAAACGTCCCGCTAATGAACAGAGTTTTCGATCTTCGTGACTGCGCGTCATCTCTGGTTACATTGACGATCAATCCTCGGAGCGGCAAAAATGACTTTTACACGAAAGTGAGCGTTAAATAAAATAAAAGGAAAAATTATTTTCTTTCTTTTTCTTTTTTTTTTTCTTATTTTCGTAACAATGCTACGATTTTGTCTTGCAATTAACGACAGAGAATTTGACACATTTTTTTGCGGTCTTAATTTTTGTTCGAATATTCTTCAGTGTATCTTTGTCATGCAAGTTTCATATTTTTTGAACAAATGATTCTTATAATAGAATTAATTAGCAGGGCAATAATGAGCCATGGCAGGATGTTGTGCCGTAGAAAAATTAAAAAATGTAATTGAGACGTTTCGACTATATTTTTTAAGTCCTTATCAATCGTTAATTATAGAGTTGTCAAATTTGTCAGTATAACTCAACATTACAAAATTCAAACGACAAACATGACTCATTTATTTTCTGTAATTGTTTAAGTGTTTTGAATTTTGTAATGTTGAGTTATACTGACAAATTTGACAACTCTATAATTAACGATTGATAAGGACTTAAAAAATAAAAGTCGAAACGTCTCAATTACATTTTTTAATTTTTCTACGGCACAACATCCTGCCGTGACTCATTATTGCCCTGCTAATTAATTCTATTTATTGGAGTTACCAAAAGGAGCCGGAGGTCCACACCTCATTTATCACTTATTTGATTCTTATAATATTGTTGTGAGAATATTTCAAGAATTTAATTGTAAATGAAGTTCAATACTATTTAGGTAAAAAGGCATCTGGAACGCTACTTCAAGACAAACACAAGTGGCATAATACACTTTAGCAACTGTTGTTACGGTTTCTGGCACTCGAGAGCAACCAATTGTTACTACTATTTAGATCCCTATCAATGCGACACGAAAGGTAGAAGAACGTTCGCCAACGGCAACGCTTGCTTGTGCGTTTTCTCTTTTATTTGTCAAATGGCAAAGCAGATGTGTCTCAATCAGCACGAAGGCACGACTGGATTCTTCATTCACAGACTCCATGTGGACTCCATCAACACGTTGCAGTTTGTCAAGTTCCAGGAGGATCCAATGTGGGTGTATTTAGATTACCACTGGAAGTTCGTGCATGCGATCGCAAAATCGTGCAAGAAACGGAAAAATAAAAGCAAATTTGATTCGTTGAAAACTAATCGACGGTTCTGGAACAATTACGTGGTCGAAGTGGTCGATCTGATTTATTCCGTTTGGGGAACGATAGGAGCGTACGACTGTCGTTTCGGCGAGCGAGTCGGGAAGAACCGTGTCGCTATATGTGTGGCCGTTCTCGCGATGCAGCATCTTTGTCATCCCTCGCGATGGAGTCCGGCGATCCTAGACTCGGCCGTGATCTGCGGAGATTCGTATTACACGGAAAGCCTGAAAAGTTTCACGCAAAAATGTTCGAAGATCGATAATAGATTCGGTTTGCGAACTTCCTTTCGTATATTTCCCCATTTGTGGACCGTGAAATTCGGCACAGATGTTTGCGGGATTCTTTACGGCGATTGGAATCAATTGACGTTAGCCGGCGCGCTAAAATTGGCCTTTGAGGAAGCTCCCAACGTCATTATCGAATGCAACAAGATCGCTTTGTCCACGTTGGTCGCCAAGGATGCATATTACGTCATCGATCCTTGTTGGATCGGTCCGCCGCTTTTCGCAAGAAATCGCGGAGCGATATACGTTCTACGTTGTAAAAATATTAATGCTCTTATATATGCGATCACAAAGATGTTCAACACCAATCAGCGACTCGCTGTTCGCGTCACGCCGGTGTTTCTCGCGTTCGATCGAGAAGACACCGATATAAATCCCGAGATCTGCGTCACGAGTCGAAAAATTCTGCCAAGATCGCTGCGAAAAGATCCAGGAAGGATTGACGATCCTGGAACCATTCCCGGAGCAGTCGCGACACCGGATGAGAGTTCTTATCTCAGCCGTCGTAAATATCTCGCTCAAAGTGCGATCGAGAATTTCCAGTCTGACGAGTGCGATCTGCAACCGCGGCACGCGGAACCTACGTTGAGTCCTGAAAGCGCGAATAACACGCTTGTAAGTACGAAGTGGCGTCTAAATCTCGGTCAGATGTATTTTTTGAAAAGATCCGGACCACCGTTAGATCCTGTCGAGATTTTGCAACGCGAGAAATATGTTGATTCCGCGAATAAAGATTGTCGGATTAACTCGCGGATTATCGATAGAGATCTGACGGACGTGCGCAGATATTATCCAATACCAATAGATTTTGTTTGCGACATTCCACCGCCGAGAATAGAATCGTTAGAGTGCCTCAGCGAGATCGGTAGTTTTATCAGAGAACAGAGTCGTACTAGGTTCATCGAGAGCGTCACGGAAATGTCTCGTAACACTTACAAGAATTATCGGCGTCGTTTACCAAAATCTAAAGAATAATTTGATGCTACAAAAACATATATAGTGAATGAAAGTAAAACGACAACTAAACATGGAAATTACAGAAATTAAGAATGCGCCTTAAATTTGAGAAGTAAACAGAAAGATGGACAGAAAGAGAAAGCGACATTGAAGAGCCTACAAAAGAGAAGGAACACAAGTCTTTAAGAGAGTCCGTTGTTTAAGCAGATATGAACTGTTTTTTCTACAAAATCCTGATTACCTATAATGGAAAGCAAACTGCGATTGATTACGATCTTATGCGATCAGAGTGCAACATTTATGCAAAATTTGTGACGCAGAAATTTGTGTTAAGATTCTCATTTCTCACGCTGCAAAACAGCGCAATTATCTTTAAAAAAAAAAAAGAAAAACAAAAAATACTAATGATACACAGAGCGACTCAGATTTGTATCAATTTTAAAATTATCTCGTGTATTGATAGATCGCTTTAATCAGCTCTATGAAATATGATTCTTCATAGCAATTGTATTATACGGAAATTTTTTAACAATTGCGTACTCGCAGTTTTACTTAAACAATTGACGTATGAATAGTCTTTATTATTTAAAAACATAACGTTTCTATTCGATCATAATTTGAATAAGAACAAGAAGTTTATTGCATAATTATGTAATCGGATATATTGTTAGGTCATCTTTATTATCATTTGAAGTTGAGTCGTGTGAAACCTTGTCTCAAAATTATCTTTGTAGAGCTTAATAAGTTAAGAAAAATCAGAAAAATTAAAATAATAAAGTTTGCATAAAAATATCATAAAATGGTTTTTTTTAAATACTTTTATTGTTTTTTTAAAATAAAGGGGTACAAAAAGTGACTAAATTTATTAACAATGGACGGCGAAAAATGCTAATTAAAATAATTGCGTAAATTTTACGTCTTAACAATATATAAATATTACATAAAATTGTATAATAATTTCTTGCTAACATTATATATATGTATATAATATCTAATATTTTTTGTTATATTTAAATTTTAGTATCATTATTAAATAATTGGTTTAATATAATACCACGTTAAATGCTTATAAATAGTAATATATAACGCAAATTTGAATTTTTCTTAAAAACGTTCCTAAATCTTACGCAAAATACGATATTCGAAGAGATAATAAGTTTGTATCTTCGTAAAATTAAAAACATGATACGATCCAAATATAATAAGCTAGAGCTTAAAAGCTTAATATACTTTACAATTTACAAGTACTCTTATTTAAAGATTGTGTTCTTGATAGATGCATTTGACATATCAAGCTTGTTGTTTGTTTTGAAACATTTATCACAACATAAAACGTTTATCAGTTTTCTAATCACTTTTCAAATTCTTTTACATTTTAAATTATTGTACACAATAAATTGGTAAAAAAAGAGGCAAATTTTCAAGTACTTTTAAGTATAATGATTTAAGACTTAAGATATTGTTATAATGATTACAGGTATGTGTTATATTATAAGTAAACATTAACATTATTATTAACAATAATATTTAAGTACGTTTGATATACAACGCAATAGTTACTTAGTTACAAACAAAAGAAGAATGTGTAAAAAGTTGGCAAAACAAAATTTCTTCCAAAAAAATGAAGTAAAATGAATATGGCAAACTTTTCTTCTTAAAAAATTTTAAGTATATAAAATTTTAAGTATACAAAGTGTTTAGATTAAATAGACGATTTGCCCGGCAAAATAACCAGACAGTAAGATCACAACCATGCGACTTATAAACAGAAAATAATATACACAAGTAGTTGTTTGTTTGTTTCAACTTTTTGAAACAAGTTATAGTCTGATAAAACAGTTGCGTTGCACTGTATATTAAATATTTTTCGTCCGTTCAATTAATTGGCGAAGAAAAATTTTTTCTTAGATCCCGAAATCACTAATTATCAAAGATATCAAGAGACAACATGAAGAATTGTGTTATTGTAACATAAAATTATCTATCGTAAAACAAATTATCACATGTGCACGCGCGGTCTTTGATTAACGAAAATCGCGATAAACGCGATGAAAGATCAATAACAAATAAATATTATAAGGAATACGCTTTGAAGCAGAATATTGTCCGATCTCTCACACTTTTGAAACGTGCAGTGCCGATGCGTTTGCTTTACACACATATATAGTTGTTGCAAGAATTGCATCAGCATTCACATTTAGAAAGAAGATAAACAAAAATTTATATTTCCAAAGAGACCATATGCATTTTTAGTTGTTTTAATCGCTCTATCAAAATATAATTATTTGTCGGCTGTCTCCTCGGTTTCCGGCTTCGTATATAAGATTTCGGCATATTCTGTTTTTTCATCGTTGAGGCGACGCGGTGGAGCGCCCTGTTGCTGTTGCAGATCCAATTCAGCATACACGATTCCACCTTCACTCTTTGAAGGATTCAATCTGCTTTCCTGTGCCAGAACAGCCGGCTCGGTAGCTTGAAGCTATAAATGTGTAACGTTCTCTTTTTATATACAAATGTGATTTCATAATTACAATCGCATTTAAAAAATTTTTTTATAGCTTCTTAATGCAAAAACATTATACAGATAAACTTGTCAATGATTTACATTTATAACACATTATGTACAATGATTTACACATTTATAATACAATGATTTACATTTATAATACATTTATGTTTTACATTTATAATACATTATTAGAATCATTAAATAGAGACAATAAACTTATACTAAATAAAAAATATTTTTTTTTAAATTAACATATAACATACTTTTTTATGTCAAATAATTAATAAAACAATTTTAAGAAAAAAAATTGAATAAAGTTATGATTAGTCTGCGGTGTGTTATTTGATGAATATTTTAACAATATACATTTAAATATGAGTCTTTAATTAGCACGTAGTTCTGAATTTTTTTCTAACTAAAAAAAAATGGATTCTTTCTTTTAGTCTCCGATTAGTTTGTTATTAAAATTCAGAATTATATAGTGAGAATGAAGTATTATATTAAAAAAAAACAAATCGCGAGAAAGAGTTACCTTTTCATCGTCGACAGTAACCACTGTCTTCATCGTATCCGTATCAGCACCTGACACTTTATCTTTATTCCGTCCAAAGAGCCGGGACAGATTGATTCTTGGTTTCCGTTGTCCTCGAGACGACGAACCGTCTATCTCCGATCGCGAATATCTGCCAGCGCTCTCCGTATCGCTTCTAATTAAAAGAGAATTAAATTGCTTCTTCTATAAACAACACATCTCTTCAACGTCATTAAGTAACAATAATTTCACGGAAAATGCAACGTATTGAACACGTAACATGTGATATAAAATACTTACATAACATTGTCATAATTTTCAGTAGTACTGATGAACGTGATGATATAACAAATTGGTATTAAATTGTTCTTACACTCTTAATGATAAAATTGTTGTGCGTATTAAATTGTACGTATATAAATAAACGTATTATGTTTTTTTAATTTATAACAATGAAGGTAAAACAAATATAAAATTATATGATTTCAAGAACACATCAAAAATGCAACATTAAATTTTCGAATGTGACGTCGAATTTCTTTTTAGTTATATCATCTATATGTGTTTATGTGATTCGTGTACGTAAATATGTAATTTGTAATATATGTACACGGAAAAAAAAGATTTGCTAGAATAGCAAGAAATTAGTTACTCTATGGCCAGCAAAAAAACATTTGTTTATTAAAATTTGGCCAGCAAAAAAACATTAAGTTTATTAAAATTTTTGTTTTGCTAACAAAACATTTTGTTGATGAAACGTTGAATAATCGATGTAAAATCAATAAATCCGCGCGGATTCATGTAAGAATAATAAACTGTGATTGCCAGTTTAATTTATAATAATCTGCATATTAGAAATGTTCCAAATTAACATGTAACATATGATAAAATATAGCAAAAAAACGTAAAGTTTCTAATGTTTGCAATGTTTTACATATAGCTAATTTTTTGAAAAATTCCACGTGTTTTTTCTGTCATTAAATGTGAAATATAATTATATATCTGAACGTTTATGGCTCACATTAGAAACTTAACTAGTTAAAAGCGGTTAGGTAATTGGTTATTTGCAAAATTCTTTTTACTGAATGTTATATTTAAAAAAGCGTTAAGATTTGCATGCATAATGTATTACACGAACTACGATAAGATAGATAGATAGATAGCTTTATTTTTAACGCGCCTTGGGACAGGTCCCCTCAAGCGCTAAATAAGTAGTGAGCTAAGATAAGTAGTGAGCAAAGCACACAAACTGTGGAAAATAAATTTGGTGAAACATCGATATTTCATATTAATTTAATAAAAAAAAAAGGTTTTCAGCGGCCACCATTTTGCACGGTTACATGATCGACTTTCAGGAAAAAGATGTATGAATGCAAGAACTAACTTTTTTATTTATTACGAAAGCGTTTATATAACACGGCGCGCAAGTACAAAGTTATTAAGAGTGAAACAAATTTGAAAGGGACAAAATAAATCGTATGATTTTCTATATTTTTACCGACTTAGCGGTTTAGCAAAAATACTCTTTGCCACAATATATGTACACACTAAGTATAGCTAGGTATATTTTTTCTCACTTGCAAACTGGGAACTTTTGTTGTCAAAAGAAATGTAGCTATACCAGCAAAAACATTTAATAATAGTAAATGTAACCTGATTTAATTAGCATTTCGGCTAGGTCTTATCTCATATTTATCGTAATCATCGAGAAACTACGCAAAAGCAATTAAATCACACAAATCCGGATCAAAGTTTTTTCTTGCGATCTCAAAATTTTTATTTTATTTATTTTAATGTTGTGTTCTCAAATATAAATTGCTGTAATTGTTACAAAAGAAAAGATTTTTGTAGTTGATTTTTATCTCACTCTCTACATACACATGTACACACATATTGTAATTTTTAATGCTACTTTATAAAAGGAAAAGTCAAATGGCCAATAAGAGCCTAAAACACGGATGTCAGTGTGTAAAAAAAGAAGGATTTATTATAAGAAGTTAACGTTTCGATCCTTGCTTTGGATCATCCTCAGATAAAAAACAGAATAAAAACGTCAAAAGACTCGTCCATATCCTCGCAGGTCAACTATCAGTTGACTCTCCGTTCCTCAGCGTAACTGTCTAATTGTCATTCATTTTAATTTTTAACTTTATTTTTTACCTTTTTATTAATTTGACTGCGAGGATATGGACGAGTTTTTGACGTTTTTATTCTGTTTTTTATCTGAGGATGATCCAAAGCAAGGATCGAAACGTTAACTTCTTATAATAAATCCTTATTTTTTCACACACTGACATCCGTGTTTTAGGCTCTTATTGGCCATTTGACCTTTCCTTTTGATCTTTTATAGAGCCTTTCTACTCCTTTTTTGCTACTTTATAACTTTTTGAATTTAAGCTTATGGCGTAAAAGAATAATAACATAAAAGAATAATAACATAAACGCGTGAAACTAGAACGCAAAATAAGCAACATACAAATATTGTTTCGCAAAACAAAGAGTCGAGTAATTTGGTGACGATTGTGTGAGATTTGTCTCAATGTAGTTACACGTTAAATTTTGACGCGTGAAATTATATACAGAAGATAACTTCAGTATTTGCGTTGTGTCGGATTTACGCCACGTAAGTCAGAAAGCAGTGAAGGTAATTTGCGCCCCCAAACACTTTGAGCATTACATGTTTTTATATTGTATTAGTATTGTGAGATTTCACCGTTTTTATTGTTAATATTAACAAAACCCCATTGTCAGTTCAGTCGATTCGTCATCGCGCATGATAAGTATAGCGCAAGCATTTATTACGATTACGTAAAATAATTGCACAAATAATAGAATTTGTGCAAGACTTTGTGGTTATTTCACGATATATAACTTTAGAAACGAATAATAAAAGATTAGAGTGCAGCAAAATATAAATGCTCTTATTTCTTGTATTCTTTGATCAATTTGATGTCTTGTACGTGTCACCTGTTGGGTGAAAAAAGCTATTGCGTCAACGGACATTGCGAACGAAATAAAATAAAAAGCTGCTGCTTGCCTTTTTCTAACGGCATCGGACGCAGTTTTCAATTTGTCGAGACGAAGAAGACAAACGCTCGTCGCCGGATCCGCGAAGTCTCTGAAAACGTGTATGCTTTGGCAAAAAGTCTACGAAACGATAATCGTCGTTGACTGACAGATGGAAGCAGCGGGACGATTTTATTATTCGTCTCTGAACCGCGTTGTGCGCGGCTAAATTAAAAAAAAAAAGAAAAAAGAAAACTAAAGCTAAATTAAATTAAAGCAATATACTAAAAAGAGATCTCAAGTATTAGTTATGATGTCAATGCGGAAGTGTGTATTTTCTACAAGCGAGAGTGCAATAATGTGAATTAAAAAACAAAAATAAAACCGGTAATTGTCAGTATACTCACGACTCCCCGAGATTCCTGGTAGACGAACGACCTAAAAGTAATAAAAATGATAAGTTCAGAGTTAACTTTCAATTCATCAATCTATCTAGTGTTATGTTTCAATTAAATATTTCTTTAGTAATAAATTAATTATAGTAAAATATGATTGATACATGTGTATGTTTGATATATATGTAATTTTTTCATTATTTTATAAACCTAAAAAAAGATATTTTATATACAAAGGCACAATTGTTCCGATACTTAATGTAATCGAAAAAAGTCGTAAATGGTCTTATAAAACTTCAAGCGACATATCGTCTAAAAAGAAGCGTGTGATTGTTTCATATTTTGCAAGTTAAAATCGCGAATGTATTGTATAATATATAACACATTAATTCTTAATCTATGATATATCAATCCGTAAGATAATCCGTGTATCTTTGTTTTTCATCTCTTATCCTCTTGTTTCTTATCTAAAGTGTGTAAATTCTACGTACTCTTAAATATTTGAATAAATGTTTATGTCTAATTTCAAACTAAGACGTGTCATGTTTTGTTTGATAATACGTAACTATATACACTAACATTGCTAACAAACATATTTCTTTACCATTTTCAAGTCAAAGATGTAGAGCATTTTGATAAATTGTAATTACTTATATTATTGATGATTAAATTTGTAATTACCTATATTATATTATCTTTTAAATATTCAAAATTATGAATGTTTTTGAATAGTTTTTTTATTACATTCCAGATAGAAACGCAATGTTATTATGATATAAGATCATTTAGAATATAAGAGAGAATATTAGATGGATAGGTATAAAACACTTTAAAGAGAGGTTTTAACTAAAAGTGAAAGAGATAAGAATTTAAAAATCCACAAGCACAGATATAAGTTCGCTTTAATATTAAAGTGTAACTTATACACATACACACACACACACACACACACACTCACACACACAATATTACATAAAATTTTATCGAATTAAATTTAATTCAAAAGTTTTCCGATGCATTTGCAACTATAAAAAGATCTTATTTTTTTTGCCACCTAAAGTAAAATTGGTTTATGAAAGAAGAATACATTTTTCAACGTTGACTTTTTATATATTTAAAACAAATGTTTTATTTCAAAAATCATACGATACCTAATTATAATATGTATAGCGACGAAACTCTTATAATTAATTATACATACACTTTTCTATATATTAATTTTATTTAAATTCTTAGATTTACTGTTACCTATCGCAATTGTATCTACATGTTAGAAGATACAAAATGTTCTCACGCCGTCGAAATGTTCACGGCTGTTTCGCTTTAATCGTGATCATACCAAAAACCATTTCTAGTATATTCTTAATGAGACAATTAGCAATATCCAGAATATTTCCTCGAATCTGCTAACGGTGCCATTTCGATTGGGCCCTTAATCGATAAATAACAAGAAATGGATATCGCGCGGACGCAATATTTTGCGTCGTTATTCAAATGACTCGTAAATGTGATTCAAAGAGAGAGAACACACCAAAGAAAACTTGCATATATGTATATTTTTATTTGCATGTATTTCACGATTCAGCGAGTGCTTCGATGCCGCCATCGCATTTCACTTCTCTCTCTCTCTCTCTCTCTCTCTCTCTCTTATACTCTAAACTCTTACATTAACATAAATATATATATCTATATAATATAATATATACCACATATGGCCAACGATCATGCTTCTTAATGTAACGTGTTATTCTTTTGTTAATATGTTATAAGTTTTACAAAAGTTGTTTCCTCGACTCTCTCTCTCTCTCTTTCTTTCTCTCTTTCTCTCTAATCATAAAGCAAAACTAAACTGCTATCGAACGTGTGTACATACGCGTGCAATCCACATTGTTCCACGTCTATCGTGTACATATATTTTATTTGCGTGGCATGATCATCAAAATTTATTTCGTAACACGTACTAGTACAATAAAATAATTAATTAATTATATATAAAAACTATCTTGTTGCGAAATAGATATATTAACATAAATGAAATGTATAGAGAATTTTGCACGCGCAAATATATATTTAAATTTTTATTTCTCTCTATGTCTCATTTTCTTCGTAAATCGTACATATTTTGACGATAATAAGTCAACGTTTGATAATCCCTTGGTTGGAACAAGACAAATAAAATAAGTAAAAATGAATTAATAACGCGCTATGTATAAAAACAAATCGCACTATACTTATCATATACTTTTGTGTAAATATCAATACTTATAAAAAGCGCAGATCTTTCGTTTGTACAGTAATTGTTTATAACGAATAGAAATGTATTTGTAAAATTACGGATAGAAAATGTGTATATGATACTCTTTTTTTATGACATTTTGTAAACGTGACAGAAATCTCTACACATTATTTCGTACCTTTTGGCAGTGGTGTTGTTCTTGTTATATATTTTTAGGTATAAGTTTGAAACAGTTTAATTTGATAAGTTTCACAGTAAAACTTGAATGATTGTAAGCAATAATTAAAATAATTCAATAACACAAACAAATAAAATTCACAAAACCTCTCACATTAGACAGAGAAATAAACGTCTTTTTTAAATTTTTAAGATGATCTATTTAAAAAAGAAATATTTAGAGTTAATAAATTTTTCTCTTTGTGTATCATTAAAACATCGAAACAAATCTCGAGAAAATAAAGAGAAAATTAATGTAAATAAAAACATAACAATTACTTTGAAAAATTAATTTAAAGTTAATTAATTCCAGTTATTGTTTATGTTTATATTCTTCTATTGTTATTACACTCTTGAGAGTTTTGTATGTACTGCGATGTAACTTCTTTGACGTCAGTCACATTACGTATTGAGAGCATCGCTTTATAAAAATCTGCAAAAAACCGCATTTATACGAGCAATTTTTTAATGATGATCGTCTAATTCACGGTTTTACTTTCCAAAAGTGGCTCTCAATAATGAGAATGTCGAGCGTATACCTAAGCCTAAAGACAGTAACTCGAATTGTTTGTGTACAAGTTCAGTCAGTTCTTGCCTTTCCTGTCATTTCTTCCAAAAATGGTGACCTTTTGTATTTTTACGTAGTGTTGTAAAACATTTAAAAATTGAACAAACCCCACACACGCACACACATACACACACACACAAAAGCATATCTCGTTTTAATTTTGTTATTTTTCTTTTAATTTTTTCTTCTTTTTTGTTTTTTATTTTTTTAGGTAAACGCGCAATTTCCCCAAGTTTTTGTTAGACTCTATCTACATATATATTAATACATACTTGATATTAGTATACATAATATATATTATCGTAAAACGTATATAATACATAAATTATACACACATATATATATATATATATTTATACTATATATTATATATACTAACAAATCGAGATATACTCGGATTAATTGAGTACTGAGACAGCCTCTGTGTGTGATGGCGCGAGCACCAGCATTTATATAAAGAATTTCGCACTATGTACAGCCACGTGCATCTCGTCAAAAGTAGAACAGCCAATGTTATTTCTTTTCTTTCGCTATCTTGTACGACACATTTTTTTTTGTTTCGTTTTAATATACTAAAAAAATGGAAGAATAAAAATAGCGAAATAAACTTATGGCATACAGATGACGAAAGGGTTGAAGGAAGAAAATACATAAAAGAATAAATACGATAAAAAGGACAAGAGAGAAAACAGAAGGAGCGAAAATGCTCTGTATAATCGAAAACAAACATTTTCTTCATTTTACTACGCAAGACATAAAAAAGGTTCTTTGACAAATAGAAATAGCGTTGGTTGTTTCACTTCCAGAAAATATATTTATCCTGTGATATATAACTATTTTTGTTAATCGTGTGTTTTTTTTTTCTATTATTTTTATTTTATTTTATCCGTTTCGACGTTTTGTTATCTTCCGTTAAGTAAATCTTATACATTTCTCTGTTTAATAATATCATTTATTCTTAAAACACTTCATGGATAACACTTCGCAATTCGATGCGGCAATTGACGTGCAAACGAATAAAATTCTTACTCGGCATTCATGTTGCAGCAGGCCAAATGCCATCGATGTCAAATATACATATATCCGATATCGGTTTCACTCGAGATCTCGTGATCGCGCGCGAGTTATATATTTATATTTATATATATATTTTTTTATTTATCTATATTTATATAATTTTTATTTAGTATGTACAACACAGTAGAGAATTTCGGCCGTTGTCGACCAACGAGTTGTATCGGGGTTCATTTAAATTTATTCGGATGATTTGGAAATTTTTATTCGTCGTGTATAAACACGATCAAGTTTTTATTATATTCATTTTCGCTAAATAACTGAGAACCCCGACGAGATCTCGCCGGTTTCGGTCACGATACTTTTTTTTTATAAGTGAAGACACGAATGCATCCGGAAAAACACTGAAGGAGCGTACGTGCAAAATTCGGAAATGTATCATCGATACACGAGACAATCTTTTGGTTCTTACTCAAGTTACGCGATGCCGACGAGACTTCTGTTCATATTCGTATATATATTATGTGTGTGGATGTTTGTGAAAATGTAAATATATGTGCGCATGGACGAGTTTTCTGATTGCAAATGCATTTGGTGATCAGCTAAAGAAAAGTAATCTGTACAAAAGCACAAAAACAACACTTATGTCGAAGATAACAAATTGAAGAATTTATATAAGGAGAATTAATTCGAACGAGAGTTCTCTTTAGTTAGAAATACTATTATCACACTATAAAAACTAGTAAGTGACAAAACGTATGAGATCTGCAACTATTTAAGAGCATAAAAGCATTATAACTAAAGTTTACATTTCGAAGATTTTATCTTTATCCGTAACGGACTTGAATTATTATTATCGAAGTCAGAATTAAGTTAAAAATAAGATTTCATATATGATATTTACACTAATGACTATATTAGACTCTACAGAAAAGTGTGCTTTCAAAATTTAAAGCAAATCTCACAATAACAATGAAGGATGTGCATTACATTGGACAGGAAATATATT